ACCTCTCAAATCTGGACCACTGGAGGACCGAGAAGCGCTCCTTCGGGCGGTTTTTCGTGGGTTGTTTGTCAGCGGTTGCGCCCGTCAGGAGATCCGCGCCACGGAAGTGAGGGTCACAGGCATCGCCGACGTGGAGGCGAGGGATCCGGCGGAATTGCCGCGGCGCGGCGCTCCGACGAAGATGTGTGACCCTCATGGAATCTCGTCACGTCACACAGGGAATGGCCCGGTGGTTTGGAGAGGATGGGGGACACGCGAATTACGACTCTCTTTTCAAGCCGTGCTTCCCAGCCATCCGGCAAGCCGGATCCGGGTTTAGGGTAGTTTTTGGTTGGTTTAGCGGCAGTGTCCATTTCACCCACAAAAAGTTGAACAAACTTTGGGAAGGGTATCTGAGGACAGCCCAATAACATGGAACTGGACAGAGGGCTCCTGGAAGACCAAGTTTTCCGGTATGGTGGGTTCCATGTTGGCGAATGGGAGGATCAAATGGAATTTGTTACCCTCCAGGCGAACATGGAAGCTGACGATCGAAGGGTTTTGGAAGATTACTTTTCTTTTGGGGAAAGCTCCCGTCCATTTGCTGTAGGGAGGAGGCTCCCCCGGACGAACATGGAAGCTCCCAGCACCATTCAAGAGGACATTTCTCTTTCAAGTACCTTGTAACTTCTCTGTGACTAGGGGAGGGTACCCAAAAAGCAAAGGGATTTGCTAGCGCCTTCAAAGGGTGGTTCATTTGTATTCCTTTGCCATTTTGGGCACCAATTGACAGCCCCTTAGGGGCCTGGTGCCCATGTTGTTTCGCTTCGGGTCAGACTCGCACATTTCAGGTAAGCAAGTTCTTCTGCAAAACAAAGAGCAAACTTTCAGTGTTGCTCCTTGCTTGTATTGTTGCCCGTCTACTGGTGAGGATTGGGGAATATCACTTCAGCCAAAATGTGTTCATGGATTTCCTTGGAGCTGTCCGCTTTTGGCAGTTGGCCAAGGTCATTTTCCAAGTCGTGGCTTTCCACGCTTGGGATAGTTGTTTGCAGCTGTTTGTTGCTTTTGGCAAAACCAACCAACTCTAAACGACCCCAGACAAGGCTACAAGGGCCTAAATTAGAATGGGGTTGTGGGCTCTAAATTCAAACTAAGTCATGAGCAGATCACGCTTGGTTTTGAGCCCTTTGCATTGCACCGGGTGTCTTTTGCTTTTACACGCGAAATATTCTATCACACACAGGTGAAATCCCTCAGGGCAGGCAAACCTGGTTGGTTTTGACGGGTCTTTGGAGATGCCAGGGGCTGGAGCAACGCCGGGCGGCCGAGAAGATGGAGCAGAAGGAGCGTGGAATTTCCAGTCAAATCACGTGCCCAAACGACAGCTGTTTCCATTTGCACTTCGCGGGAAAGAAGGCTTTAAAGGAAAAAGCGCACAAATGGAGCCCGATGTTCTTTGTGTTTTGCTTGAGGCAAATCTGTTGGAACATTGTTCCGAACATTGATGATCAAAGCACGAGGGTAGACAAGTGGCAAAAGGGGGTCAATGTTTGTTCCTTTCGCTTTCCTCTCCTCTCCTGGGGTGGGGGAAGGGTTCCACTTGTTTTTGTCCAGGCTGAAGCGTTTGGCTTTGAAATCTTGTCTGAGTGTCCGCTGTGCCGCCACAAGCTATCTCAGTGTCTTTACTTACAGGCACTGCTTGCAACCACCTTGGTATTCACTTTAGTTGAACCCAGATTCTGACCGGCTCGAGGCACAGGTGCTCCGAATTTTGGCCGGGGGCCATCAATTCACCTCCACTCCGGCCCTGCTCTGACTGGGCGGGAATAACAGACCCTTCCAGGCAAGAAACTTGTGACCAGCGCACCGGGTTCATCTCCACTTGTGCTTGGCCACAATCTCTACCAACACAGGACCATGTGTTTCTTCTTGGATTTGTCTGCTTCCCTTGGCCAGGGAACCCGTTGCCTGCACAGGAAAATCACAATCCATTTGTTAGAACCAATTCAACACATTCAACGGTCACACCCGGCCGAATTTCGACTCGGGACAGGACCAGAAGAAGAAGCAGAAGGAGCATGGATTTTCCAGTCAAATCGCGTGCCCAAACGACAGCTGTTTCCATTTGCACTTCGCGGGAAAGAAGGCTTTAAAGGAAAGAGCGGACAAATGGAGCCCGATGTTCTTTGTGTTTTGTTTGAGGCAAATCTGTTGGAACATTGTTCCGAACATTGATGATCAAAGCACGAGGGTAGACAAGTGGCAAAAGGGGGTCAATGTTTGTTCCTTTCGCTTTCCTCTCCTCTCCTGGGGTGGGGGAAGGGTTCCACTTGTTTTTGTCCAGGCTGAAGCGTTTGGCTTTCAAATCTTGTCTCAGTGTCCTCTCAGTGTCTTCACTTAGAGGCACTGCTTGCAACCAACTTGGTATTCACTTTAGCTGAACCCAGATTCTGACCACCTCCACTCCGGCTCTGACTGGGCGCAAGTGGGGCTTGCGCTTACAAGCCTGCCTTGGGAAGCTATTGAGGGATTGGTCTCCAACGGAGTCTGAGTTAACAGACTCTTCCAGGCAAAACAAACTTGTGACGATCATGTTTTGGGAGCAACCCTGGTTTGAATCGGCAAAGTCTGCTTCCCTTGGCCAGAGAACCCGTTCGCACAGGGACCCCAGGAGAAGAAGAAGAAGTCGGGGGCCGTCATGGAGGACTAAGGGCGGGAGGCGAGGGCGCGAGGTCAAATTTAGGTCTCCTTTCAAGCAATCCCGAGAAGTTCCTTCGAAACACAGATTCGTGGAAAGGACCGCTACACCCTCCTCCTCCCCAAATCCAATAAGCTAGCCATACAGAAGTCGCGACCCCCTTGCCTTCTTGGATCAACCGGTGCGAAGGACCCATAAGGCGAAACTAAGTGGGAAAGAGCCCAGGTCGAGGCTTTCAATTTGAGAGAGAGAGAGAGAACTCGACTGAGGCGAAGGCCAAGGCCCGGCCAAGGCCTCGATGTGTCCGACTTGCAACCTTCTGGACCCCCCACTTTGAGAGAGGGGTTTAGGCTAGGGTTTAGGGATACCTTCTCCAACGCTTAAAATGGGCAGGGAAGGCTTCCAGGGCTGGCCGAAGTTCAGCTTCCACGTGGGTTGAACTTCCGAAGTTGGCGAACCTCCAGCCTCGGACAGAGACCTGGATCAAGCTCCGTCCCTGCGCCCTAACCCGACCTTATCCAAAGGATTTCCTTGACAAAACATGGGGATCCACAAGGTAAATCATGTCCGTGGCTCACATGGGCAAGAACCAAGATTCGCAATCATCTGTCCTAAAGCAAGCTGGTAGACACTCACACTTGGCGCAAGCAAGTGTGTGTGTGTGTGTGTGTCTCTGTGTCTCTGTGTGTCTATGTGTCTGTGTGTCTGTGTGTCTGTGTGTCTGTGTGTCTGTGTGTCTGTGAGTGTCTGTCTGCGTGTCTCTGTCTCTGTGTCTCTGTGTCTCTGTGTCTCTGTCTCTGTGTGTCTGTCTCTGTGTCTCTGTCTCCGTGTGTCTGTCTCTGTGTGTCTGTGTCTCTGTCTCTCTGTCTCTGTGTCTCTGTGTCTCTGTGTCTCTGTCTCTGTGTGTCTGTCTCTGTGTCTCTGTCTCCGTGTGTTTGTCTCTGTGTGTCTGTCTCTGTGTCTGTCTCTGTGTGTCTGTCTCTGTCTCTGTGAGTCTGTGTCTGTGTCTGTCTCTGTGTCTGTCTCTGTGTGTCTGTCTCTGTGTCTGTCTCTGTGTCTGTCTCTGTGTTTGTGTCTCTATCTGTCTCTGTGTCTGTCTCTGTCTCTGTGTCTGTGTTTGTGTCTGTGTCTGTGTCTCTGTCTGTGTCTGTGTCTGTGCCTGTCTGTGTCTGTCTGTGTGTCTGTGTGTCTGTTTTGCTGTGTGTCTGTGTGCCGTGTCTGTGTGTTGGTGTGTCTGTGTGGGTGTGGGTGTGCGTGTGCTTGCGCGTGTGCGTGCGTGCGAGCTGTGGCTTTGTGAGCGTACCCTTTTCAGCATTGCTCAAAGAGAAAGGAAGCGGAGCACCATTTCGGGTCCCGGTCCAAGTTTTGACACGCACGCACACACACACACACACACCCAAGCGAGGGCCTACAAAATAGAAGCTCCCCCCAATTCGTTTCTTCTTTCTGCTCACGGTTGTTGGAGGATTATTTGGCACCAGGTCTGTGGAAGAATGCATTTAGGGGCCACTTTCCGTGATAATTACTAAGTTGGAATCCTGATCAACGTGACAAGGCACACTTGGTTAATATATGTTAGTCATAGGGATGATAATTCAACTACGGTACCGCATGATCATTTTCAAGGAATCCCCTCCAAAGTGCCATAAACCATAAAGCGGCACAGTATTTGCTTGTGGTATTGAAGAAAGCGGTAGGACATGAACGAGATCATGCTCTTGGACCAAGCCATGGAGATCGCGCGGAACAAGGGCCTCGACGTCATCCTGATTAGCGAGGCGCGACAAAAAGACAAAAAAAAACATATATAATGTGTGGGTGGGTGGGTGGGTGGGTGGGTGGGTGGGTGGGTGGGTGGGTGGGTGGGTGGTTGGGTGGGTGGGTGGGTGGATGCTTGCTGCTGCCTTGCTTGCTTGCTTGCTTGCTTGCTTGCTTGCTTGCTTGCTTGCTTGCTTGCTTGCTTGCTTGCTTGCTTGCTTGCTTGCTTGCTTGCTTGCTTGCTTGCTTGCTTGCTTGCTTGCTTGCTTGCTTGCTTGCTTGCTTGCTTGCTTGCCTTGCTTGCTTGCTTGCTTGCTTGCTTGCTTGCTTTGCTTGCTTGCTTGCTTGCTTGCTTGCTTGCTTGCTTGCTTGCTTGCTTGCTTGCTTGCTTGCTTGCTTGCTTGCTTGCTTGCTTGCTTGCTTGCTTGCTTGCTTGCTTGCTTGCTTGCTTGCTTGCTGCGCGTGGGTGCGTTGGTGCGCGCGTTGGTGCGTGCCATGCGTGGGTGAGTGGGTGTGTGGGTTCGTGGGTGCGTGGGTGCATGGGTACGTGGGTAAGTGAGTAAGTGCCTGCGTGCGTGCGTGCGTGCGTGCGTGTGCGTGTGTGTGTGTGTGTGTGTGGGCGCGGCGCGGCGCGGCGCGCGCGGCGTGTGTGTGCGTGCAAGTGTGTGTGTGTGTGTGTGTGTGTGTGTGTGTGTGTGTGTGTGTGTGTGTGTGTGTGTGTGTGTGTGTGTGTGTGTGTGTGTGTGTGTGTGTGTGTGTGTGTGTGTGTGTGTGTGTGTGTGTGTGTGTGTGTGTGTGTGTGTGTGTGTGTGTGTGTGTGTGTGTGTGTGTGTGTGTGTGTGTGTGTGTGTGTGTGTGTGTGTGTGTGTGTGTGTGTGTGTGTGTGTGTGTGTGTGTGTGTGTGTGTGTGTGTGTGTGTGTGTGTGTGTGTGTGTGTGTGTGTGTGTGTGTGTGTGTGTGTGTGTGTGTGTGTGTGTGTGTGTGTGTGTGTGTGTGTGTGTTGTGTGTGTTGTGTTGTGTTGTGTGTGTGTGTGTGTGTGTGTGTGTGTGTGTGTTTGTGTTTGTTTGTGTGTTTTTGTGTGTTTTTGTGTGTGTTGTTGTGTTTTTGTGTTTTGTTTGTGTTTGTGTGTGTGTGTGTGTGTGTGTTTGTTGTTGTTGTTCGTGTTTGTGTTTGTGTGTGTGTGTGTGTGTTTGTTGTTGTTGTTCGTGTTTGTGTTTGTGTTTGTGTGTTTTTCTGAGGGTTGAAAAACCCAAAGGAAGCCAATCATTTTGGCCCCTGTATTATAGCGGATCCATTTGCTGAGGGAATCCCTAACCGTCCCCCATGGTTTTCTTTCAGCCCTAGGTTCGTGCCTGAAAACCAAGATGCACACCCTCGAGAGTTGGCGGGCAAAGTTCTAGGTGTTGTTTGAAAACGGACGGATGGTTTGAACCACCAAAGATCCGTACAGATATCCCACAAGAGATGTGTAAGCCTTGCCCAGTGTGAATTGGTCCAGACCACCTGGTGAAAAATGTGAATTCCGTAAAGCTCGCAGGTTTCAAAAAGGCTTGCTCAGAACCAGCTAGGAGTCCAGTTCCCACTGCGCTTATACCCAGTTCCTAAAGAACCTGATGACATGTTTGTTCAGTATGCATTGGCTGAATTCTAAACATCCTAAACACTCAGGCCCAAATTCCGTATGCCGGTACGCGTCCGCACGTACCCTTTGAACAATTTCAATTTACGGTGGCTTGAATTCTGCCAACATGTGCAAAAACCTAGCTCGTTTTTTCTTGTTGGGGGGCGCATGGTTCTCCCAAGCCAATCTTAGAGGACCAATGTCAATGAAATCCACGAATTTGAGGACGCACCCAACTTGGAACACCTTGTGACATCGCTTGATACACACTCAATAGTGTTCGCAAAACAGAATGGACGAGCATCTTCACCTGGAGAGCAGCGTGCCATGGGCGGTCTTCACAGTACGGTGGATTGTTTTAGCATTGGAGAACCCGCTACGCACCAACATGAACTACAGATTTTGTCCCTGTGCCCCACTTGCCTTCGCGCGCGGGCTTTTGGACGGACAGGCGTGGGGGCTTGGGTGTGTGCGTGTGTGTGTGTGTGTGGTGTGTGTGTGTGATGTGAGTGTGAGTATGTGTTTGTGTTTTTGTTGAGGGCACCTTTGCTCGGGTTGGCGTAAAGGGAGCCAAAAAAAGAACAAACGGTTGCTGAGAACCCCTTGTTTGACACTTACCCATACATGCCGTGGTGAAAGCTCTTTATTTGGGGTGATGATCATGGTTCCCTTCATAGAAACCTTTACATTGGTTTTTCAACATCTTGTAAAGGATTGCAAACATTCCCACCAACCCCAAGCAAGCCACAATCAAAGCCCGGGCTGATGAAGGTTGGTAAGGGACCGTCCCAACTATACATGCTAAATGGGTGCAGCCATTATTTACATGGTTTTGGGTAGACCCGTTTCAATGCCAGGTTTTGATTATGTCTCAAGTAAAAGACCTCTTGCGAGTCGCGGCTTTTGGCCAGGATCAGGATCCTCCTTTGGTGAAGATCGCCAGCGTCTTCGACGCAAGCGTACGACTTTTTGTTTTGTTTTGGCGCCCGAGGTGGACTGCAATCTGTCACTTTTATGTAAACTCTAGCGACGAACGCCCATCTCTAAAATATCGCCCCGGATGTCCATTAAATTATTTGCTTTTGAAGATTGGCTTTCCGTTGCGGCATAGCTCTCTCGCAGGGTAACTCCGGCGTCTTTCAGTCGTTAAACTGGACGTCGACCAGTTTCAACCCGTGGCCTTGGGCAATAAGCCGAAGCTCGCAGCTCGGTCCTTCGGAGAAATGGTGCGGAAAACTGGTGGCAAACCGATCCCTTCTAGTGGTTACGCCGGATGTGGGTCCATACCAAAGGGAACCGACCATGTTCAGGGGGTCATAGTTTTGAGAACCTACCTTTGAATCCATGGCAAGTCGTCCTCGCGAACCAGCCTGGCTGAAGCGGCAAGTGCCGCCCTGGAATCATGAACACGGCGCCTTGTGACGCAATGAAGACAATTGCATCCCAGTTCCATATTGGGTTCGGTCAAAACTTCCGAGGCAGTCTATGGTCCATTTGGAGGGACATGAGACTTACTCCATTTCCCCACAGATTCGCAGATCTTGCCGCGGCACACATGATGGATCCGCTCCACACTTTGGCCTGCAGACAACTTTCCGGAGAAAAAACAGAAGAAGAAACAAAAAGAAACACAACTAGACTACAAGGAAAGACGATTTGCTCAGAGTTGCTCAAGCCTCCGTAATGTTGACGTAGTATTAAGAATCCCCCCATATTAGTCCGGTCCGGGTGACACCCCCCAATACTAAACAATTCATAACTCAGAAATTAGCCCCCAAATAAAAAATGGATCCAAAAAAAACCCACCCCAATTAAACCGGTCCCTCCCCCAGATGGCTGCTGCTATCTCATTTTCTCCACTGCTTCTTGAGATCATTCCAATGTAAACTGTTGCTGCTTGCCAAGGTTTCTCTGGATGGTGTCCTGAAAAGGTGCTTTGGCTCAAATTGGCTCATGCTTTCTTCTGATACTGCCGCCTTGCTTAGGGCTCTCATCTCCACCTCCTCCTCTCATCTTGAAGCTTGGTGGATTCTTTTGGGCCTGCCCAAACCACAAAACAACAAGTGTTCTGAGATGGTCGATTTCTTCTTGAATCCTTTACTCAAAAAAAACAAGTTTAGAAGGTTTCAAAGGGTACCCCACATTAGCCCCTTACACCCCCAATTAATAACCCCCCCTAATTAGTGCGGTCCATCGGCCCCACCCCCCAAAAAAAGACAACCAGGCCTTCTCAATACTAAATCAAATGGAAACTCAATTCCAGATCTCAAAAGGAAGCTCCAGCAATACTAAATCAAATGGAAACTCAATTCCAGATCTCAAAAGGAAGCTCCAGCAATACTAAATCAAATGGAAACTCAATTCCAGATCTCAAAAGGAAGCTCCAGCAATACTAAATCAAATGGAAACTCAATTCCAGATCTCAAAAGGAAGCTCCAGCAATACTAAATCAAATGGAAACTCAATTCCAGATCTCAAAAGGAAGCTCCAGCAATACTAAATCAAATGGAAACTCAATTCCAGATCTCAAAGGAAGCTCCAGCAATACTAAATACTAAATCAATTGGAAACTCAATTCCAGATCTCAAAAGGAAGCCCCAGCAATACTAAATCAAACGGAAGCTCAACTCCAAATCTCAAAAGGAAGCCCCAGCAATACTAAATCAAATTGAAACTCAACTCCAGATCTCAAAAGGAAGCTCCAGCAATACTAAATCAATTGGAAACTCAATTCCAGATCTGAAAAGGAAGCCCCAGCAATACTAAATCAAACGGAAGCTCAACCCCAAATCTCAAAAGGAAGCCCCAGCAATACTAAATGAATTGGAAACTCAACTCCAGATCTCAAAAGGAAGCCCCAGCAATACTAAATCAATTGGAAACTCAATTCCAGATCTCAAAAGGAAGCCCCAGCAATACTAAATCAAACGGAAGCTCAACTCCAAATCTCAAAAGGAAGCCCCAGCAATACTAAATCAAATTGAAACTCAACTCCAGATCTCAAAAGGAAGCTCCAGCAATACTAAATCAATTGGAAACTCAATTCCAGATCTGAAAAGGAAGCCCCAGCAATACTAAATCAAACGGAAGCTCAACCCCAAATCTCAAAAGGAAGCCCCAGCAATACTAAATCAAATTGAAACTCAATTCCAGATCTCAAAAGGAAGCTCCAGCAATACTAAACCAAATGGAAACTCAATTCCAGATCTCAAAAGGAAGCCCCAGCAATACTAAATGAAATGGAAACTCAACTCCAAATCTCAAAAGGAAGCCCCAGCAATACTAAATGAATTGGAAACTCAACTCCAGATCTCAAAAGGAAGCCCCAGCAATACTAAATCAATTGGAAACTCAATTCCAGCTTTTAAGGGGGTGGAGGCAAAAAGCCTTCCAAAATCTTGCCCCCCCAAACCTTTGTGACCTTCAAGGTGGGGGGGGTACGGACAAATACGGGGTCATCATTATCGATAACACCCATAGCTCGGTGGTCAGGAAGCTTATAAATATAATATGAGCTCTCTGCAGGCGTTGGCAAGTACACGTACACGGAGAACAAGAAGAAGAAGGCCTGCCACCTTGAGACAGCTCTTCTCAGAACGTGCTGAGTTGACACTCCCGAGAGATGCTTCCCCAAGCACATCGGATTTTTTTGTTTTGTGGCTAACCCCTTCCAATCGTTCCGAACGGCCTCTGTTCCGAACGGGCTGGCAACTGACGAACTGAGCCTAGTTTAGTCCAGCGGGTTGCACGGAATCGGACTTGCCGCGTGCAGAAAGCCTCCACGGCCAAGCCGCCACGGATGAAGGAGGCGCGTCGAAGCGAGTGGGGGCAAGGGGGCGTTGGCCTTGAAGGTAGACGCCTGGCCTATTCAGAGCTCCTGAAAAAAGATGCCCATTTGAAACATGGCTTTTTCCGCCAAAATGAAGGGACACCACCATTTACAAGGCAATGTTCAGGTGTATAATGTAAGGATCCCTGCTATTGGAAGGGTTGGGGGGTGTTCGCGCCAAAGCCGGGCCACCTACTTCGCCCGTTCTTCCGGGATGCTGCTTGTCAGAAACGGGCAACACACGCCTTGGATGTTGAGTAGTTTCTCGAAAGGACAACGGTCGAAGAGAATGGACACGCGAAATTACCTAGGCTCTCTGATATGGGTGCTTCCTCAAATTACGGCCCCCACAATTGTTTCTGTTAGTGGGAACACCAACAGGAAACAAACCGCTTTTAGGGCTCCTCCGGTTTAGGACACATTTATGTGCATTTGTGTTTCATTTTGCATTCCCAAGGCGTTCCAGGCGTCGCCTACATGCATAAGAAGCCGATCAGTACGACATTTCGCTTTGAATTCAGTGCCTGCGGTCGGTTCAGACCAGGATGTGCGGCACAGTACCGACAGGTACAGGGTGGCTGCAATGGTTGCTAAGACTGCCGTAATTAGTGTATTCCTTCAGACGAGCAAGCTGAAAAGACCCTTCCTCATCCTTGCCGGTGGAGATCACTACGGGGAGGTCCTTCGTGACCTTGATGGTAGGTTAAGGCATATGTCCTTCTGCCGGCAAGAGATGACGCGACATCTGGGGCGGGTGGAAAACTCCGACCAAGGAAAAAACGAATTGATTCTGACCCAGTTCCCATGCTCATACCATCTGGCTCTATGATCATTCCACAGGGATGGAAGGGTCCGGCGGTATTCGCTGGGTCAGGTGTAAGAACTTGTTGGTTGGCCAGACGCCGATGAATCGCTGCAACTCTACGGGCAGTGAAGTGGCTGCGGTTGTCAAAACCGTTTTGGGATCCCAGTTTGGTTGGTAGGTGAATTCACCCATTTTAGGACCTATTTTCCTGGTTGGATTGGGATGTTCACTAATGGATCTTGACCCATGGCCAAGTCTCCGAGGCGCTGCTTCGATGGTTTTGCCGGGGTTCCTTTTGCTGTAAGATTCATTCGGTCCCCCAGCTAGGTGCCCTTTTACCAACTTTTTTTGGGGGAGGGTTCCCCTAAAATAGACTACAGAAAAAAGGGTACCCTGATTCGAACCTCTCTACTGGAGGACCTAGTGTCCCCCGAGTTCAAGAGCGTGAAAAGCGGGCCGAGCTAGCGTTCTTTCCCCGAAACGCGTTCTTGGCAGAGTGTCATCTATCTGAGAAAGAAACGGTCGTTTGAGCGGCGCTTCGCCGGACATGCCTCCGAGTCGGAATCCTGGCGCCCGCGGCAGGTTAAGATGAGCTACACGATCGAAGATCACGACCTCAACACGAGGTCGACTCATCGCCTGTGCTTCACGCAACACATGTCTCAGATGTTATGAGCCCCCTTTGTGAGCCGCTTTGCTAGGTGTCCAAGCGCCAACCAGGGTTGCACATGGGCTGTAAACATGGGCTGTAGACTGATGATGTTTTGCGTTTCTTGCATCAACAATGTCCATTGATTCCTGCCTTAAACCTGACTGGCGGGGGATTGTACAGTTTCATGTTCCCTTTTGTCGAGGCCAACCACATGGAGTCAGAGACATTCATTTTCAGTGGAGATATAGGTTGGCCCTCGTCAAGAAGTGGGTGGAGAACAACCCACGGCAGCAGGCGAGGGGAATGTGTCGACGGCCGTGAGTCCTCAAACTGCAGACTCTTCGGTTTGAACTGGGTCAACCCTTGGTGAAATCCTTTGCCCATGACCAAGCTAACTTGCCCAAAGCGCATCAGACCCTTTAGCCTTTTGGTTTTCCTGTTTTGATTTAGTCATGGTTGCAGTTAACCTTTTATTTCCGGGTCCCGTGGGCAAAGTGGCTGTGGGTCAAAACCAATGGTACCATTTTGGGGTAGGTGCACCACCCATTTTAATCTATTTTAGTGGGGATTGGGACGTTCATTGGGGGTACGGGATTTTGACCCATGGCGAAGTGAGAAAATGATGGTAGAAAAGATTCGAATCCTAGGTCTATGGTGACCAAGTGAATGCTTCTCTGAAGGCCTCACCTTCTCGTGGAAAGCAGCGTTCGGGTCTGGGGACGGCCCGGTGCTTGTGTTGAATGGCCAGCCGTCCCCAGTTCCTAGGCTTGATACTTTTTGGGGAAATGTAGGGAGCAAGCAGCGCAGACTTTTTGACATATGGGTATGGGTCAAAACTAAGCCACCAGAGGACCGCAGGTTTTCGTCCATGTTTCCATTTACCATGTTGGATACCTATATTTCAGCCACAGCCATGTCCGGACTTGCCGTTCAACTTCCAAAAACAGATTCTGACGACCAGGGGTTCCCAGCTTGGAGTTGTCCCATGCCTATGAAGGTAACTGTCTCACATTTCGATTTTCACAAAGTCTGTGACAATTTGTCCACAAGGTGTGTGAAGATCCAAAATATGAGACAGTTAAACATGGACAGTCCCTTTGAGAGGGTTTTTAAGGCAGCGCCCCAAATCCCTGCCGTCAATTTCAGCAACGGGTGAATTTGTGTTGGGCTCCGAAAGCTAAAGGTTCGAGGGTGTGGCAACATATGCAGTTGCCTCACTAGGCCAAATGGATCTGCACCTGCCAATCTGGAATCGGGAAACAACGGAAACCGCGTTTGCAAAGGGCAAAACCGCAAGCCATATGTCTGGCGATGACATACGAGAATTGGGGCAGCGCCAAAACCCTGCTCACTTAGGCCCTCCGGTAGAGGTTAGAATAAGGGTACCCTTTATTTCTGTAGTCTATGTTAGGGGACCCTCCCCCAACAAAGTTGGTAAAAGGGCACCTAGCTGGGGGACCTAGCTTCTGTACAACCGAGACGGTGAAGGACATGTCGATATTTGAGATAGGACTTATATGGCAGTGTTTTTTAGGTTACCTTTCGTTTTGTGGTTTTGAAGGGAAACCCAAAGGAGAACCGCATCCATTTTGGGGGCTAGAAAAGACACACAAGCTACCTAGCGAGTGGGTTACAATGACTAACCTCAGATACCCTGCTTGATGCTGACCCCGGATTTATGAACCTCTGGTTGTTTAATAGGGGGTGTCCCTTTAGGTGGGGATTCATCACTTTTGGAGAGCAACACCCCAAGAAATATCCGGGTCAGTTCTCGGCAGGGAATGAGGGAATGACCCCTATAGACCATCCCCAATTTTTCTTTTAGGGGAATCCCTAGGTTCATTACCAAATCACTGGGTCATTCCCGAATCCCTAGGTCATTCCGTACTGAGCACCAGCAAGTTATAGCCTACTTACTAAGCTGGCGGAACGTCCAAGTGGGCATGTTTTTCTTTTCCCCAACAGCTGAAAGCTTTGGGGTCTCAGCCCAGATAGGCTCCGGGGTGGTCCGGGGCGGCCCTGAGGTAGGGTTCCACCAGGGTTCCACCAGGTTTCCGCATGCTGTTGACCAGAAAATACCATTCTCATGTAAAGCCAGGAAACATCCAGGTACCCTCAAACAAATAACACATCCAGGATCATCCAGGGGGTCAAGACTAGTAAAACCCGAAAACACGCAGGTAACACCATGTTCATGTAAAACCACACAACCGGTGGTTGTCTTATTTTTCATGTAAAACCGGGAACAAAAGTCTTCAGGCAGCCTCAAAAAGAACCACGGGTCATGCCTCCTTCACGGCCCAGGTGAAGGTCCAGGTGGTTCTGAAAGGCCGCACCAGGATGTTTGAGAACCAAGCCAGGCGAGGTGACTCAGCTGGCGCCAGAACTTCTAAACGTGGGGGGGGGGGGGATCGGGTGTCCGGGTACGTCTGGGTCCTTGGATGAGTAGTGCAAAAGAGGTTTGGGTGGTGTTTCTAGGGTTTTGGGTATTTGTCCTTTCAGACCGGGTTGCCTGAAACGACCGTTTAGGGCTTTGCGCCCTTTTTGTTAGACCCTTTGTTTTTTCAGGGCGCCAAAACCTCGGGAACCCACATCCGCCCGAGTCAGAGTCTCCAGGCAACTGCTGCTGCGGATCCAAAGGGACGTGGCGGCCTACGCCAAAGTGCCCGGGATCGTTGCCCCGGCGCCGCTTTGGGACTTCTGGCGGGGCGAAAAAGCGACCACTCGGGGCTCACTGACGCGAGGCGACCACTTGGGCGACTTTGGTTTCTTGGGAGCCAACTGTGGTTTTTTGACATCGGATTTCTTGGTTTGCAGCTTACACGGGTGTTTCCGAAGCCTGGTCTACTTTGTTCAGGTCCCAGAAGGTTTTTCGTTTCTGTTTGAAGGGGCCTTTGGTCAAGCGTGCATGTTTGACATGTTGACTCTTCAAACTACCATTGTTGAAACAAGAGCTCCTTTCAGTTTTCCTTTCAGGAGGACCAGAGGATGGTCGTTTGAAACATTTTTAGGGGGTCTCCGATGCGGTGTGTTATCCTAAGTTTGACTATGTATGAACCAGAATCCGAAGATATGTATTTCATATACCCAGGGGTCAGGCCAAGTCTGAGTTGATTGCATGAGCCATCATGAGGCATCCACAAAGGATGATCATGGGAAGGGCATCCATTGAAACATCAGCCAGGCGCATGTTTCCATTGATTATCTGCAAGTGAGTTTCACCGACTCTAAGTCCACTTACTGTTTGTCATGTCCGTTTTCCCGACTTCAACTACGCACTGCAACAGGAATTTGCTGCTTTGAACCAGTATATGTGTGTTTATCTTATGTATGGCTTACTGCTTTGGTTTGCGTCCTTTGATTTGGATAGGCTTGCTCGGATCAGTGAAGCTCTCCAAATTACCCTTGGGGAGTGGATGTCCTTTTGACCACCACTTCACGGGCGGTTTTCGTGGGTCGAATGGACACAGTCAAGGTGTCCTTGGTTGTTTTGGTTGAAAAATCGGTTGGGCGATTCCTGGTTTACCTGGTGGTTTGCTCATCTACCACGGATATCCATCGATTTCCCCAAAAAGGACACCCATGGACCGAGTCCTATGAAGAGATTTCATGACTTCGGGACTTTGGATTCGGAGTGCGGCCCGTCAGTTGGCCAGGAGAAGGGCAATCCTGCCATCACGAAGGACGGGCGAGGCAGGTTTGCCTGTCAGCGCAAAGTGTGCGGCTGGTGCTTTTCCGGCGAAGTGGGCAAAGTCGGCCAACACCCAAAGATTGAGAAATGCTTTCTATTTTGTGTTTTTGAAGGACCCCCAGTCAGGTCGTCCTTCATTTTTTGGATCGGCAGTCTGGGGATTTGGTTTCCCTAGTTCGTGTTGGAAGACACATGGAGAATGCGCTTGCACAAGTCACGTGGCGATTGCCTGCGGTAGGACGCGCATTCGTGGGAGGGATCAAGGCAGACAGGGGTCTCTTACTTGGGATTCCTCTTTCTTCTAGCGCACCTGCAAGTCTACAGTCTTACCATCCCCCCTCCAGTGGGGTGATCCGCATCATTGATTGTGCTGTTGGCGCCGTGTAAATGCGGCCGCCAGTCATCCATTTGAGGCAAGGAGGAATAAGCACTTGGTGAGCTATTGTAATTTACGCATATATGTCCCTTAGCATCCTGTGGTTGCTGATGGGGAGTGAGATTGCTGAAGCTTGTTCTTGAAGGCGACATTTATCAGACGCGTGTGGCGTTTGGCTGAATGCCAGCGCTACCCGGGCGCTTTCCGCGTTCAGGTGATCTGATCATGCTTCTGAACGGCGGCCCGGGGCTGGGAAGATCCACAGATGGCAACATGAGGTTGACCCGCATTTGGGTTTGACTTTTTTTGAGGGTGCGCTTTGTCGTTGGTTTTGAAGGGAAACCAACGGGTTGCCAACCGATGTTCAGGGGTCCGAAAAGAAAGAAAATAGCCACCCATGTACCCACTGCATTGGTTGTGGGGAGCCCGGGGGACGGAGTCGCAGCATCAAAGCTGGCAAAGTTCCGTGGCACTTGTGGCCTCGAAGACCACGCTTGGAGGGACAGTCAGTCCCAATCACGGCCACGTGTTTGATGCTTTACGTAGTTTTGGATAGAACCTGTTCGGTGCCTGTCGATTTTGACTCCATGCGCAACGCGACAAGCTTATTTTCGTTGCCAGGGTGTTGCCGTGGAATTTTCGGACAAAGGGATACCTGGTTCTTGAGGCTGGGGACCGGGGCCCAAGATGCTTTTCGGTGTTCAACTTTTGGTTTCCCTAACCAAGGTGAAGAGGCTACTGGCACCAACTCCAAAAAGCTCACCCAGCGAAGGTGCCAGGTACTGTGGACAACATTCCTCTAACTGATGCGAAGCGGATCTTGCTTTTCCATCCACGCAATGTATGGAACTAAAGCTTTTGTTGCTGGTGCTTAGCAGGGGATGAAAGAACCCAATGTTTTCTTTAGGGAAATCCCTGGTTCATTCTCAACAACCTGGGTCATTCCCTACTCAGCACCAGCAAGTTTTGTTGCAGGGTTTGACCTTCCCCTCCTAGTTGCTCTAAAGCCATCATAGCACCCTCAGAGTGCCCTGCGGAGCTCCTCTCTAAGACCATATTCGCGCAATTTCGTGAGTATCAACTCTCGTAGGAGTTTTGGGCAACCATCGTAAAGACTCCTCTTAAGGAGCCATGACACTAACAGAGTTCAAGCTGGCACATTTGGCAGTTCTCAGGATTCCTAGAGGTGCCGTGACCCTCCGACTTCAGGTGCAGACAGATCAATTCTGAAGCAATTGATCGAGGAGACCGCTGCGAGGTTAATCTGGGTTAACATTATAAAGCTTGCTCATGGGCAGACGAACGCCCAATAAAACTTCAACATAGAGTGGAACACAGCAATAATTGCATTGAGCGGTTCTGCCAGTCTGGCCTTTTATAGCAAAGCCTGGATGAGCCTTTATGGCCATGTTGGGTACAACCAGAAGTCAACGGGTCTTGGGCACTGCTCACCTTGAACATGAGGGGACAGGGGGTTGTTTGTATTCCACACGCTTGTCTTTGTTCTACGTGCAGAAAAACCACTGGGGAATCCCATCACGTGGAAGCTCATGAAAAGCTGTGCGATTGCCAGGAGGCTGGAGGCAAGAAGGCCCCGAGCCCTCTCCGTCAGGGCGCTGGCATCTCCCGCCCTATCTGACCTTCGGGACCCGGTCCCTTCAAGAATGCTGTAAACCAGTTTTCCCCCCGAAAGGTCAAAGGTGAAAAGGGTGGGCCAATTTGCCCAGGGTTTGGAGCGACCTTGCAAACCCCAGCCATAGGCCTCAGGAGACATGCGGATGAGGTGAATCTCAGTTCGATCTCCCCTGCCCTTCCCGCCTGCTGAGTCGCTCAGAGTTGATTCGTCATGTCAAGCCTTCGGCATAAATCGTAGCGCTCACCTGGGTGCAAAACGGGTTGACCCACTATGAAGCTTCGTAACCTATGTTGTCCTTGTTGAATTCTATGTTTTGGTGTGTGTGTGTGGGCATGTGTTTTTTGGGTACCCTTTTTCGGGTTGCATGGTGGGATGTTTGATTTCTCCGCAACACGGATTGGGCCCAAAACATTTTCCCGCGACGGCTTGGCCTTGCGTTTGCAAGGCCCTGCAAAAGCAACTGGCGGAAGCGGAGGTGGACAAAGATGAGGAGGAAGAGGATGTGGAGGAGGAGGATCAGGACCATGATCATGTGCTAAGCTGCTAAACCAAATTGACGGGGGCAAGAACTTGAGCCTGGTTCTGTGTCTATTATTCTTCAGACATGTTCGGACTGACTGGCTCTTTGGACGAGCAAGCGTGCTGGGGATGGCCGTGTTGCCACAAAAACCAACGAGGAAATGAAGACACGGAATGTGTTCAAGCACCAGCCCGTTTTTGTGTTCCTCTGAGACTCAAGGGCGCAAACGCGAAGCGGCTGGAGGACGAAGAGGTTCTGAAGCTCGAGGCAGAAATTGAGGAGCTGAAAGAGGACTGGGGCAGTCCCACCTAGAGACAAGATCCATTTTACATCTTGCCCATTTAAGGCAGCAGCGTATTTGATTGACATACACACACAACTATATATAATATTATAAATATATATATATATATATACATGTATCTATATATATATAGTGAAAACACCAGCTTCGCTTCTGTGCGCAGCAAGTTGCGCGCGAGGAGCTGATTGAGTGCGGCATCTCGCCGCGGAAGGTGGACTCGGAGCCGGAGATGAAGGAGCGACTTCCTGCCGCAAGGTGTTTGCTGAGCGTTAGGATACCGCTCGTCTTTTCAAAGGTCGGATCCCACCAAAAGTTAGGTTGGTTCCCCTTAAAGTGTCCTAAACCCAACAAATGCCACCCTCGGAAAAAGAGTCACGCCCAGATTTCAACCGCACCAATTGTTCCCGTTGCCTTTGGGCAGGGCTCAAAGGCCAACGGTGGATGTTTTGAGCTGGAGGAAAAAGAAACATGGAACTCGGAGTGGCTGTGTTGCGCTTGCTTTTGAGCCATACACGGGTCAGTCTGACTTTAGGCTACCCTTTTTGGGATGGTTTGAAAAGGAAGGCGGGATATCCCGCCAATTTGCAGGGTCCCCTAGACGCCAACCCATGTCCCTTTGCTTTTTGCGTCCCGTCATGGTCTGCGAAGTTGGGGACCATGCTTGAGCGGATACCAGGCATGCGAGCAATGCCTCGCAGGAGTTGAAGCAGAAGCTGGCGAAAGCGGAGGCAAGGAGGGCATGGACGGTGTGCAATGGGCCATAAGTTTCTTTGGTGCAGTTTGCTTGGATGTTAGGACTTTGGCTTTTTGCCAGCTAATGGGTTTTCCATTAAACCACTAAAAGTTGAACTTTTAGCAGGGGAGCAGAAAGCAACAAAGGTTTGACGGCTCTTTTGAAAATAGCTGGATCCTCCAAGCGACAAAGAAGCCCCTTCCTGTAGATGCACGAAATCCGTTCGCACCACAAAGAAACCATGGGAAGCCATTGGGGGAGTCGAACTCGAACCATTCCAGGGTTTCTTCGGTGCGAAATGGATTTCGTGCATCCACAGTGGTATCCGCAAACGAATCCATTCGGAGGAACCAGTCAGGAACCGCTTTGGTAGCCAGGAACCTTCAATTGCTTCGGGGAACAGTATGGAACGTTCTCACAACCCGGCAGGAACCCTAGCTAGCGCCGGACCACTTGCAGCGGCCATCTAGCTTTCAGCCGTTTGGATCGATATGTTTTTTCGTGCGAGGTCGGAAGACATAGCCAGCGCTGGTTTCATGCACACACATCATAACGATGTTCCAGATGTCCTTAGGCTTGGCTTGATCGAGTTCGGATGTTGGGTTGCAAAAACCGCCGGGGTGGGGGGGGTGGGGGCTTCGGCCCCTTTTCACAGGGGCCGGAGGATTCCCTGGCCGATGCGTCAAGGTGGTTCATGCCGTTTTATTCCTGGGGATGAGTTTAATTAGGGGGTAGTTGCTAGGAGTTCACTGCTAGTCCCAAACCCGAGGCAAGCTAATTGGCAAACACTTGAAAGATCCCAACCGTCTCTTTTTTTTGCCTTCGGATTCCCTTTCTTCACCCAGCAGGTGTGCCCTCAAATGAAAGACACCAGATGTTTTTGTGCTCCCTGTAAATAGACGCGCCTCAACTTCATCTGGTCCCCGCCTCAGGCCAAAGCCGCCAAAGTGGGAGCCTGAGGCTCACTCGCTCCGGCCGTTCGAAAGGCCGGCCGGAGGAACATTTCTCGGGCGATGTGGGCGAAGTCCATCAGATGAAACATTTTGAAAGGAGATGAACCGGCGAATGTGGAACCCTTCTTGATCAACCAACCTGTTTATTCATAGGCGGTTGCTTTTGGCCCCTCCAAAAGTGGTCTGATTGCCCACTAAACCCAAAGACACCCCCCTGTCAATAAACACTATGGGGTCAACATTTCCCTAGGCGCGCCCAAGTTCACGACAAAGATCAGGACTGGGCCTGCGCCTTTGGGGAAACAAGTACGTTCGTCTATTGTTCTACAACCCGAAATGCTTCGATGTGCTGTTGGTGTTGGCGAGGTTATTCCGGCTGCATTTGCTCTGATTCTGTTGATTGTGGATCTGTTGCCTGGGCTCCTTCATGTCCTGTTATGTCACAGCACTCGATGTGTGAAGAGATGCCACCGGAGTGAATTTGGACCATCGGCAAGCAGGCATCCTGGCCAGGTAAGCTGTGACGGGCGGCTTCCCGGAATTCAGCTTACTGAACAGGCCCACCATGCAATTAAATGCGTGTTTTGTGTTTTAGCATATGTTTACGGGTGCAATACACACATTGCTTTGCCTTGCGCTGCAAAGCACATGGTTACTTTATCAATCCTTGGAGACATTATGGCTCTGATTTTAGGAAGCCATGCTCCCGGCTCTCGCTTTCAGCACGATACTAGCCGCCAGTTTGCGCAGCGCAGGTGAGAGACCGCAGCAGTGAGAAGATGTCTGACTTCTTCTGGAAAGCGCAAACAGCATATGCCCTCACTTTGGGAAGCGCGTCTTGTTTGGCAATCATGTGTGATCGAACAAGTTGTGCACTAGATATGGTATGATGTGAGTCTGGTGATTTGAGAATGTGCATGAGACACCAATCGCGCAGTTATGTCGTCGTATGGAGAGCTTGTCGTGTCATGCGCTGATCAGTCAGCAAAGCTGAGGAGGATTTGACACGCGCGTCTATCAGTATTCAGCTTTTGAAGCTGAGCAGAATGAACACACCCCTTGCTCCAAGAACCCTTTCTGTCCGTGCCTGCTAAAAAGCATGCCATTGTCAACTTGTGTGCTTGGGGCTATGGTCAAGCCTGATGACAGAAGGGCAAATCTTGTGTCCTTCTCATTTCGCCTGGGCTGTTCAAAGGTAATTCTGAATCCTTACCTTCGGTTACACAATGGGGTCCCTTTTGAGATTATGGCTTCCCTAGAGGGATTATGGATTAGGATTGGCGAAGCCTCCATGCTGAACAGCCCAGATTAGCTGGTTTTTGTATCAGGCGAACTTCAAGGGACAAGGCCAGTTGTGCAAAGTTGATTGGGGAGAATTGGAGTGGGGCGAAGCGAGGACAGGCTGGAGCTATTTCAGCAATGTACAGGGCATAGTGTCTGGTCCGTGCCTGATTTTTCGAGATTATTTTAGGTGCCTCGTTTGCACTCATGAAGGCTGTACAAGATCCCAACGGTTCAAGGTCTGGTCGCCAGGTTCACATTATGGAACCCTGGACACAGATATTCATCTACTTCCATGTCAGAGTTGAGTAACCGCCAGCTGTGTTGGTGCCAGCGGCGAGGCTTTGCCGGGGTCTCGCCGCGTTCGGAATTTCGCAGCCCCCGGCCAACTTTTCGAGCGAGGAAATGATACTTGTGTTTGCACAAGGCCTTGAATCCAATGTTAACCCCGGAACAAACATCACCCCAACGCTTGATTGTGATCGAACGGCGTAACCATTGTGACCTGATCTTGCCCACAGAGGCCACAAAAGGGACTTTTGGTCGTTCTATCCGCTTCACTTTTGCTAAAAAAGCACCAAGTATCGAGGACGGGGTCTACTTAGATCTGGTAGCAGTTGCTCGGACTCCAACTCCAAGATGATCCTTGGACCCCCTTTTCCGATCCCTTGAGGCAGAAAGGGGTGCATTGGTGCAGGTGAGCCAAAATCAAACCCACGTAGATGAAGGTTAAGTAAGGGGTAGCCTCAACCAGAAATCAGTTGTTGTTGTTTTTGTGCGACTCTGGGAAGAGTTTCAACCTGTTTTCTTTTCCAGCGGCACATTTCAACGTACGCAGCGGGGACTCTCCTACCAAGCAAGCGGGTGATGTCAAGAGAAGATCGACATGGGTCTGTCATTTTCTTTCTTGGGGAGAGTACTCTGTTTTGTTTAATGTCGCTTTAAAGGGACATCAAGTCACCCATTTGGAGGATCTCCCCATCAGAGACAAACCCACATGCCACCTTTGAGCACTGGGCGCAAACGCTGCTTCCAGAAGCTTCTCCAACAGGTTCCTAGACTGCGATCCTGTGCGAAGGCCCTAGGATCCATGTGGCTATGGGTCAAAAATAGGCTAACCCCAAACTGGGTTGCCCTATGGAAACATGGACTAACACCTGCGGTCCATATCCTGGCGGTTTAATTTTGACACACACCCATGCTGCCCCATGGTACGACAAGTCATCGACACATGCTGGATGTTTTGGACAACGTGGACATTGCTTGGCTGACGTATGAGTTGTAGGAGTACCCCTCGGTGATGGTTCTTGCTTGGATTTGCTTTGACATCTGGCAATCCAGCAGGTGGCCCGTTTCAACCATGGGCGTGTGCCTTTTTAGGGGACCCCCCCCAAGCAAACCAAACAAAAAGCTGGTTGCTTTTTGTGCTTCTTGCTTCTCAAAATCGGATTTGGATTTGGTGGTTTTTGCCTTTAAACCACCATTCAGTGTCCAAAGATGTCACTTGAATGGACCCAGAAGCCCTGAGATTGCAACTGAAGCAATCCACATGCTTCAGCGGACCGCCGATTCCACGCTTCGAGCTTTGAGCTTCGGCGAGCGAGTTAAGGTGACATGTCATGCAGAGCATCATGCATGTGTCCACATGTTTCATGAGAGCGGAATAGATGCAGTCCTGAGAGATTGGGGATCGTCATTCGCAAGATCCGTCGTGCCCTCTTCGTTTTAGCCATGACGCTCGCATCTGCACTGGCGGTGATGTGCCCCACAGGCCTGGCATTTGCGCGCGTTTGCGCGGGATGGGAGGGGAAGATCTCAAGGCCAAGCGAAACGGTTTCACGTGGCTCTAAGATGGTCCAAAATGGCACCTTGGTAAATGGAAAAGCCTATCACCTGCGCAAGCCCAGCTCTTTAATTTGGAGCCACACCCAAATGTGGGACATAAAGTCGCCACGTGGGGCACAGTCAAAGCCCTGGTGGTTTAAGGTTTGTAGCGGAGCAGCCGTAAATAGGTGCCACCGCCTTGATTCTTGACATGGTGTTGGGAAGACCCTTGAATACCAGGTTTCTATTTTGATTCATGCAGATGATGTCCACGAAAGGCTCCACAGAACATCATACCCACATGCTTGTTCGGTGAACCAAGAATAGCACATCAGCAGTTTGAGACTGGTCTGTTTCCTTTGGCTTTCCAACAAGCACCAGCCAAAACGACAGTCCTTTGTTTCGAGAGGCACACACATCTAAAGACTGCACCCTTGGGGAAAAGCTACCATTGCTCAAACATCTGAACTATGTTTGTTTCAGACAAAAAGGGTTCGCATAAGGGATATATGTGTTGGAGTGGAATAGTGTTCCAAAGACGTACTGGCAGGTGTTTCCTTTAAACAAAGGATCCATGACCTAGAACCCTCAAGATTGATGGGGTCTCTTTCATCTAAGTTTAGCACAGGATCTTGGCGGCTGCGGTAACTTCTCCCTGGACCTTTGTTCCCAACTGAAAAATGCACAAAACACGTCGCAGTAGTTCAAAATGTTCTTTCCAGATCCAGTCGCATGCGGCATCAGCTTTGCACTATAGGCAAATGGTTCGACTCGCCGGATCTGGTTTCAAGCTTCAGAGCAAGCCAAACTTCCGATGTCTTTTCATAGCGCGTACGTTGCGGATCCCTGGCAGAAGCAAAACATAATTTGGCTTTGTGGCTGAAGCTGTTTGGATGCCACTACTCATGTACCTTCGAAGTCCACTGCCCTCAAACAATTTCCATTGGAATTCAAGTACAGGTTTGTTTGGCTTTTTTCGTCCACACCAGGAGAAAATACCCCCAAGAAAGCCACAGCCGATGCCGCTACCGAGGGCAAACGATATGGGTTTGGGTCAAAATTAAACCACCAGGGGACCGCAGGTTGTAGTTCTTGGTGCCTGTACCAGGGTTCCGTTTTGGGCATGCATTTTTGACCCCACAGCCATATCGCGTATGCAGAGCTCGTGGGTGCTTCATCGCAATCCGCGCGGCTTAGGACCAACGCCAGATCTGGGCGACGAGACCGTGCCACTCATTACCAGTGACGGGCACACGCTGTCAGGTGCCCCAGTGCAGGTTCAGAGGTGCCATCGCTGCTTGGGAGGTGTGGCAAGCTGGGCTTTGTCTTTTCCAACCAAATTGCGTTGTATCCCAGGCAATCAAGGTTCAAAGGTCCCAAATCCCTTTTCAGACCCCTGGCTTGTGCTCTTTAAAAAGTAAATACAGTAAACATATTTGGCTGCAAATCAACAGTGGCCGCGGCCACTTCCCGTGTGCTTGTCGTCAACAACACCCGAGGAGGTGTGGGTGGGCCGGGATGATATCGGAATCAGCTTGGAAGTGCAAGGATTAGATCTGATTGGAGGAAGGATTCTCAACTGCTTACTTCGGTGTTCGGACGAGGCGGGGATTCGCTGATTTGGGACTTATGACCACAACCCATCATGACTGACCACGGCACATGCAAGAAGATTTGCGACTAGGCATTCCTCCTTTTGGATAGTTTGATTTAACCCCTCTACCGGGATACGTCCCTGAACATGGAGCTCAGAAAATCAACATTGCAAACTCCTTTCAGGAATCGGAGCCCCTTTGGACTTCCTTCCGTTAATGTGTAAAGTAAGGTCTTGGGTAAATCGGGCAGGATTGCGCAAACTTCCCCAACACAACGACCCCCAACCTGCAGATACTCCAAAACATGCCGCAATATATTCCATTCTGTGACTACTCCAGGGTTGTTTCCCTCCGGGAAATGTAAACCCCGGGTTTAAGTCTGCGGTCGACAAACGTGTGTGTGCGTGTGTTGTTTTGGCGTTGGTGCCTTTTTGGGATTGCTGAAAGGGAGAAGCCAAACCACTTTTTTTGGGGGGTTGCCTTGAAAAACATGACACACCCAAATGCTTCCATTTCTGAAGAATGTGCTATTGTTTATGTTAACTTTTTCCTGATACTTCAGCAAATGGAGGTTAGACTTTTCGCTTTTGCGGGTTTAGTGGTTGGGTTTCCATTTGACCGACCAAAAGTTCATCACTTTTACTAGGTCCCCCAGTATATAGTGCTCTTTTACCCTTTTTCTGGAGAAGGGTTCCCCTACAAAAATAGACTACAGAGAAAAATCGGGCACCTTTTATTCTAACCTCTCTACTGGAGGACCTAGTTTAGCAGATCTGGAAACGGGCCCAGATTCACCGCAACACACCCAGTTCCACTGGCCGAGTTCCAAGGCGCTGCCATGGAGCTGTGCTGCGCGCCCGCTGCCCCAAGCTGGAGGCGGCGACCGGCTTTCAAGGGCGTGGCGACCACAAAGGGAAGGACGCGTCGCAGGCCGCCTATGCATATGTATTATATATATATATATATATATGTACATCCACATATATATATATATATATGTAGAGATAGATAAATTGGGGGGTGTCTTCGATTCAGGGTAGTTATATTAGCTTGTGGGTTTAGAAGGGAAGCCAAAAGGACAAAAAATACTTTCGAGGGGTCCCCAGATGGATTTGTAAGAGATGGCCAGAGATGAGATAGATGAATGATATGAGATAGTATGAGATGAGCACCGGCACACTATTCCCGATCGAGATGACATGCAGTTCGAATGAAAGCACCTACAAATGCCGGGATTCGGGTAAGGGGGGCTTCACCTTTGGTCCGCTCCTTGCCAAAAAGTCGTCGCGCCTTTGGTGTTATTGATCTTCCCAAAGGAGGGGAACAGGGTAAGGCACAAGAACTAAAAGAGGGCATGTCTTTCTTAGTTTTCAGGAGGGAGCAAGGGGAAAACGATGGGTTTTGGGAGTTTCAATCGAAGACAAACCCGCAGACATGGAAGTTCATGTATGAGCCGCGATCAAGATTCGGGTAAACTAAGGATAGGAAGGGATAGCCCCAGCCATAAACCGGTGCGCCTTTTGAACTTTTTATTTGTCTTTTGATTAGACAAATTTCATTGATTCCCAGGCTTTGATATTATGACTTATATTCCCCTGTTGAATGACTGCTAAGTTGAAGGTGGCATTCGGGTCTCCTGGTTCGTTGTTGGACACTTTGCTGCAAAATGGAAAGCCCAAAAGGCGACTTGTTCATTGAGATTTCTATATGATCTTCAGCTCAATGTCTATGTGATCTTCAGCTCAATCTCAAGTTCTCACACTCACCTTCATCCTACACATTTTGGGGGGGTCTCAATATGAAAAAGGATCAGACGCTATGATTTTGCAGTGTGCAGCTGGGGAAGGCACTCGCGTTTCGCATGGAGCATTCCCTCCGGCCGCAACTCGTCGAGGCAGCCGAGGTTGGCGAGGAGTGTCAGCCCCAGACGGATGTGTCGGTCTGACTCTACAGGCCATGTATGTGTTCCTGTGTGTTGTTCTTTTTGCAGTCATTTTGACGGAAAATCAAAACCGCCAGTTGTTTTAGGGGGTCCCCCTCTTTTGAGGCGAATTAGAATGCCTTGAAGCCGAGAAGCATGAAGAGTGTTCATGCTTGCCAAGCAGACAGGATGTGGAAGGCGGGAGGGGAGTTTTGGAACAAAAGTTGTCGTTTCAAGATGTAACTCACTTCAATGAGCTGGCGCCTTGTCCATCTTCTGATTCGACAGAGAATCCCGCAACTTTCAGAGTCTGACCTCGGATTTGTGCACCAGAGCCATTCAGACTGAATGCACGTGCAAAACAAAGGTCCTCCAGAGGTGTTTACTATTCGCGATGAAGTAGTTTGCAAGCTGAAATCGAGATTTGTTTGTGGCCCGACCCGGGAGAAGAAGCAATCACTGGATTAATACAAACACTTGAGTTTCTTGCAGGGTTTCGCCATGGCGAAACGGCTTGATTCCTTGGATGTTGGGTGGGTGTTCCTTCAAACTCAAGCAACGAAGAAGGCCTCGCCTGATTTCCGCAGCAAGCCAATGTCTCGTAGAAACTGTTCCGAGGAGCCTCAACCACACCTGCCCCTACCCCAACATACTTGTCCTCTTTTATTCTTTCTCGGGCTTTGGCAGTCCAAAGCCACAAAGGGTATCAGATTCGACCCAATTTGTGTGTCTAAAAGAGGGGATCTCCACGGCTGGTTTAGAAGGACAGCTGAAGGCAAGGTAGAGGCAGCCAAATGGAAGCTAAGTTTGAATGTTTTTTTAGAATGCAAACTTGTCCGCAGGTAAGAATTTCACTATCATCTTCAACTTCATCATCATCATCATTGTCATCATCATCATCATCATCGTCGTCATCATAATCATCAACCTATCATCATCGTCATCATCCTCGTCATCCTCATCATCATCATCATCACCACCATCATCATCACCACCATCATCATCATCCTCAAATTCATCATCATCATCATCATCATCATCATCATCATCATCATCATCATCATCATCATCATCATCATCATCATCCTCATCCTCATCCTCATCATCATCTTCATTAGTATTATTAATGAATGGTTGATCAATCAGTTGTTGGATGGACCGAAATCTTTACTGAACAAATCAGTCTGAATTCCAGCAAGCACCTGAAAGCGAGGATCTCCTTTGTCTGAGGCAATCCTGCACCCCCAACAGAGCCATCTTCTCTGGCTCCGTATGGCTGTGGCTCAAAACATGTACCAAAATGGCGCCTTGGTAAATGGGACCAAACTAAAACCCGCGGTTTGCCCCAGCGACACCCGTATGTATAAGAAAGCGGGGGAAGGAAGACCGAGACTTCAGGGGGCCCAGGAACCGAGAGGACACTCAAGGGAGGGGTCCAACTGAGGCTGCAGGTAGTCCTGCCGCTCTTGCAGTGGGTCTATGCCGCGCGGGTGCAGGACAAGACTTGAAATTGGGATCAAACAGCTGCGAATCGGCCAGGGGATTGCTCTGCGAATGTTCGCGCAGATAGGAAAGGATGAGGCTTTTTTTGGGATTTTGGACCCCGCAAGAATGCCTGGCGTCCTTTTGGTTTTCCTGTAACACCACCAAGAAGTGGTACCCTCAAAAAAGACACCCTATTTCTGTGATGTCAAGGTAGCCCCCCTTGTCACAAAAGTTGCAGGGATGGCCCGCTTTGGTGTCGGGGTAGGGCCACTTCTTCCGGACCCAGAGTGTCACCTCATGTATAGGGAGGTTGACCTTCAGTGCATTGCAAGCTCAGTTGCCCGAAGCGAATCGACCTCTTCACCTTTTGGTTTTACCGTTGTGGGCCAGATTTAGCCAGGGTCACAGAAGGTGATCTCTTTTTATTTGTTGAGTTCCTTTGGGTGAGTGAGCGCGAGCCCAAACCTGGACAGACTGGCAAAAGCTGATGACAATCCACTTCTTGGGGATCTCTTATTTGGGTGTGTCTTTTTTGCGTCTTATTTGGCAAGACACGCCATTTGGGGGCCTTGCTTTTTTTTCCCTTTTTTTTTTTTTTTTCCGGAGCCCTTTTAGGTCGACTGCGAAATTGAGCCAGTGCGGATGCGAAGCTTTCGGTAGGTAAAACACGGCCCTTTAAAGGGGCCATGCCGTGAGCAAAGCTCCATTAGGTGGACGGATTGGATAAACCTACCTGGTGCAAAGTGGATTTGGTCCAACCGCTGTGGCCTATGGCTCATCTTTTAGGTGACACGGCCCCTCACGACCCCTCGGAAACTCCGCTGCCTATGGTAGTCCCCAAGAATAAGCCTCGTTCCAAGCTCCATCTTGATCCTTTTGGATCCCAGGTGTGAGCCGACCACATGTGAAGGGAAAACCCTCCCATGACCATATTATATGGAACCTGACGTTCGGGGGGTCCTGGAAGACCATGTTCCTTCTGAAGGGACCGGGTCCCTGTCAGGTTCCATGTCAAGTGGAGGCAACTAAAGTTGACAATCAGTTGAATGGTTTCTCCTGTCATTAACTCCTTGCCGCGCTTCTGAATTAGGCTTCCCTGCTTGGGGTTGTTTTTCTTTCAGGACCACCAACGCCAGCTCAAATTTGGGTCCCGGTGTTCCAAATCCCCTTGAGAGCCCATGGCCAGTGGAAAGAGATCGCGTGACCCCCGGAGCCCTAGGGCTCAGATTCCAAGGGAATTCTTCCATTTCCCGAAGAATGGTGTTTATTTTCCCTGAGTTTGAAGGGAATCTGTCACTACTGGACACCTTCTTTTTTTCGGGGGACTCAAGCAAATGGAGGATACTTGTGCCATTTGGGGCTGTTTCAACGGAAGGAACCCTTATTGAGGTATATTAATCAATTGCACTGAAACGTACACCTGGCTACGATTTTGATCAAACATGGGTGGACATGAATCCCCATGTAAATGGTGCCATTGTCTCCACCTGGAGGACCCTCGCCCCTCAGAAAAGCAGCATGGTTCCCTTTGGTTTCGGCTTCAATCTGCCTCAAAAGGGTATTTCCCCAAAAAGGGTACTCACAGCAAAACATCTCAAAAGGACGCCCCACCAAAAAAACAGAGAAAGAAAGAACACCATCCAACCTAAAAGGCTACCCACACATCCCTGCTCAAGCTTTTGCGTTTCCTTTGCCTCGTTTTGACCTCGGGACCGGCCACTGACGGCGGGGGATGGGGACTGCGCGCACTACTCCCGCGTGCTGCGTTTGGCGCAAAGCGGCGGCCCCGGTTTGGGTCCGAATGGGGTTGCCCCAAAATATACCTCAAAGGCCCCGAAAATCTAAGCCTGAAAAAAGGGGTCAGCCGAAAAGGGGTGGCAACCCATTTTGATTCAGGTGGAGACTCCAGGCACTAAATCCTTTTTTGAAGTAGAATCTCTTATAAATTGCCAAAGGACCCCTAAGATCGTTTTCTTCAAGCCAAAGAACCAAACAGATACAAAACACCATCGTTCTTGGGATAAACTCTCTCATAAATTCACAAAGGACCCCTAAGATGTGCTTTTTTTTAAAACCAAAGAGAGAGCGTTGTTTGGGGCTTCATGGGCAGATGGTTTTTCGGTGTCCATTGTTTGGCTCGCCAAGAGGCTGGGGCCTCCGAGACGCCGGCGAGCTGCAGGCGAGCGATGAGCGGAGACGCTGGAAGCCACGGCTCCGATAAGCCACAGCTCCGGTTGGAAGCCTTTTGCATGAGTGTTGCTGGCTACAACTAGGTCCCCCAGCTAGGTGCCCTTTCTCACCCCTTTTTTGGTTGGAAGGGGTACCCTTATTCTAACCTCTCCACTGGAGGACCTAGACAAGTAGCAAGTAGGTGGGACAAAAACAGATACTTACCTACTTAAGGTTCGAAAAAAACGAAGAAAAAAAGGGAGAAAAAAAACAAGAGTACTTAAAGTTGCAACCCAGTTGCAAGCAAGTTAGGAAAGTAGGTATATATAGTGACTAACCCCAGTTATCCCACTTAATGTTGACCGCGGATTCAGAAACCCATGGTTGTTCAACAGGGAGGTGTCCCCTTTCAGTGGGGAGGCCTACTGAAAGGGGGGAGGCCTCATTTTTGGGGGGGAACACCCTAATGCGGGGTCAACATCAACGAATTTGTGGGGGGTTGCTTTTGAGGTTGTAGCTCTAGTCGAAGGCAAAGGAAAACAAAGGTCCCCTATTCTGACACATACCTGTTTACTCACATCTAGATGGCATTAGCCGCAATTGTGGGAAATGTTAGGCACATCCTCACTGCATGAAGGCGTTGGGCATTTTTTGGACATCGTCCATTCTTGATGCGCGGCACTTGGCGAAAAAGCAAGCCACTGTGGATTCACAACATATTTGACCATCTGGGATGGCTGAAGCCTGAATACTGGGTATACCGCACTGACCAACCGGCGCTTTCTGTTTGAGTGGCTTAGCGCGCAACTTTTGAGCTGACCAAGGCCCTTCAGTTTCAGGACGGAAACCGGTGACACCACTCGGAGCCTTTTAGTTCCTTACTTCCTGCTTGAGTTCCTGGACTTTAAGCTTTTCGGGTAACCCATTTTGGTTTAGAGTTAGAACAAAAAGGGGTTTGGACATTTTTGCGTAACCCATTTTTGGGGTAACTTTTTTTATTTGGGTTTTTGAGTAAACAACAAGTTTACACATTTTTATCCAGTCCACTGGGGTTCGGAAGTGAGCTTGGGAACTTGGACTCTTCGCGCATCAGACTGCGCCCGAACCGCGCCATCTCGCGCCATCTCGGGCTCGCGCGTTCGGAGGACCGCCTCATGGCGCGCCGCAGCAAAGGTGCGCGGGGAAGCACCTTGGCAGAGGACGTGCGCGGGGCCGGCGACGAACGCCACGCGCAAAAATGTGTGTGTGCGGGCGGTCGGGGGTGTCTTTTTTCGGGGGGAGCCATCCAACATGGGAGTCGGAGCCCTCCATACGGAAATGTTTATGAAGGGTTGTTGCAAAGGTTAAATGAAGACCAGCCCAGTTTGCTGAGACCTACATCAGATTTATCAGGAAGTCATCCCATGTCATCCCAAAACCATGGTTTTTATGATGGCCCAGGCGGACATGTGTTTGTTTCAAGGTTCTGGGATGGATCGCCGCTGTTGTTCCAAGGGAATACATTTGTGGGATGCGAATGAATGTTTGACTCCTGCAGGTAGAAGACAATAGGACTTCTTCTAAAGGGTCGCCACATGAAAGAAGAACAAGACGTGGGCTTCACTGAGGGTTGCCTTGCTTGCACGGAGATATCTCGAATTTGCCTCTCCCTTTCTGAATGATATCGTGCGTGAGACGAGGGACAAGCACACGCCGGGGGACACGTACTGCGTAGTTGAAGTTTCCTCCCCCAAGAGCACCACAGAAGAAGTGCATGTGATTGATGTTTCCCAGACAGTCTATTTAGCAGTGTTTGCAACTCCAGTGTGAAGTAGGCGTTTCTTCAAATGTGCTTGTCATACCGCCATATTTTGTTCTCCGCCCCCAGCCAGTGGATGAAGACATTCTAGATCATTTTATATTACCCATTGTTAGCTAGCAAACATAAAGCAAGCACCATTGCAAACGGATTCGAAAGGGGCGTGATGTGTCATAGTTTTCCCAGAATTCACCTTTGTTGTATTATGTCCACGTGTTGCTGCTGGATAGTCAGTCTTCCCCAAGGAACCTTGTTTTCCAGATATCCACAGATGTATAGTGGTAGAAAACGATGCTTCGCAGATGTTTGCTCTCGGGCGCAGGGATGCCAACTTTTGGACCAATGCGCGTTTCATTTTCCCCCCCGCAGAAAGCTTTGAGTTGTTGTTTGCGAGTCAACACGGGCAAAATTAATTAAGCCCGGCAGCAGGTCGAAGAGTCATGTCATGTTTCTCCCCCTGAAGCAGGTCTTATCGGTTAAATCCTCTTCGACCGGGCGAGACGGGCGTCTTCTTTTCAGTTTCGAGTTGCGTTTGGTTCTCAGAGGATTGCACCCCGGAAGCACTTCCCGGGTTGTTTTACCCTTCCGGCTGTACGGTTCTAAACCTCCGGCATTTTTGGGGGGTCCGGCGGCGGTGGCTGGAAAAAGCCTCCGCATTCCCGCGCTTGGGTCCGGTCGCCGGTCGGTCGAACCTCGACATCTCCGGCGAAGTCGTAGGACTTCGCCAGGGCCTACGGGGACCAAACCTTGCAGGGCCGCTTCCGCTTCCGCTGCCCCGCGCCTCTTGGGCCGAAGGCGAAGTCGACGAGTGTTTGGCGAGCGAGACGTGGTTTTGTGGAGCTCCCAAATGGGTGGCTCATGGTGGCTC